AAAAACTATATTTTTTTTCTTTTTCTTTTTCTACTACGTAAGGATACTTAAGGCAAAAATGAGCCAAATACACCTAAAAAACATGTAACTTAAGACATTAGGTTGTTATATTAGTAGAATTTCAAACTCAATACAGATACCCAGAACAATACAAGCTATTTAATACCACTGTCAGAACCAAGGGAAAAAAAATGACCAGTGTGATAGCGTTAAATTGCCATCAACAGACAGACAGAACAGACATTTGGTGCCTAGCACCGACATTAACATTGCCATTTTATTATTAGCCCTAGCTGCTAGCCACTACCTTAATGATAACAGATGGCTAATGTGGCTATGGGGTAACTGCTAACAGTTAAAGAGCTAACAGTTAAAGCCGTGTACCAGCTCAGTTAACATTTATGGGAACTATTCAATACTTCAGTGTTGTTAAAACTGGAGCTTTACTGACTTTAATCTAGAATTCCCACATAAAGTGTTGTTCAGTGTTGTGAACATCAACTACTTCAGCTGGTAGCGAAGAGACAGGCCTGCCTATGTGCATTTGTGAAGTGTGCAAACTGGAAATGCTAAAGACTGCACTGCTGGTATTGGCACTTTTGCAAATGACTAATGTAATCTGATTGCCTTTTTTTTTTTAGAATCCATCAGTGTCTGAGTACCGATTTTTTTATTTGTTTTGACAATCCTGCTTGGACATGGACGTGACAAGAATACGTCCACCTGCAGTCACATTTATGCAACACGTGTATTTAAGCTGAGATGTTGCATTTAAAGCATTATTTCCACAAATATTAACCATACATCTAATCACAGTGCAATTATTTTGATGGCTATATGTATAGAGACTGAGAACAGAGTCCCTAGGACTGCTTTTACCGAGTGTGCTTTCATTATATACTTCACAGCAAAGGAAACTAACAAAGGGGAAAAAAAGTAAATGTAAAATGTAAAACTAATATTTTAATAGTGCAAAGTGCTTAACCAAGCTTGTCTTCATTTCCTGCAAACGCACTTTCATTATAGTATAGCTCTTTGCTGTTACAATAACATAATGCATCCACTTGAGAGTAAGCTAATAAGAACACAGTGGGACAATGATGTCCAAATAATCTGTAAGACTGTGGAATAATTTTTTTTATTATCCTTACTGGCATGAGAGTACATTGCTGAGGGTGCATAAATGATACGACACCACAAGCGTCTTACTGCAACTTTCCAAATATAATCTATATTTTAATAAAATACCCATTTACTTTGGGAGGCTTTTTAGCCTTTATTATGATAGGACAATTGAAAGTCCTATCATAAAAACCCCAGAGCAGATTTGAACATGGGCCTCTGCAATAGCCATACAAAAATAGTGCTGCTCAAGATAGTAAGCAATACTAGCACCCATAATTTCACCATTTACTATTTGTTTGCTGTTGTGGAGTTGATTTTGCAGCCTTTCTGTGGCTTGCCAGCTTTTTTTTTTTTTTACTGGCAATGGACTTCTTCTACATTTAACCTCTGGCTGAAAAGAGGAGTAAGGGGAAGCAAACACTCTTAGCAGCCAGTATTTTAATATTATTAATTTAATATTATTAGCCTTAGTCAAAGAGATGAGAGGAGTAACCAGCTTTTAACTTCAGTGCTACTTTCCCCTCCTAAATTCTAAGTGAAGCTGTCGAGTTCAAAACATTCTCATACTTCTCATGGTGGGCTGCCATACAGACCAGTCCATATTTCCAGCCACAAGCCAGTCTTTAGTCAAGAAGAGTTCCTAGCAGCCTTGGTAAATAGCAGTCCTACTGTATCATTAGCCAAACACTGGTTATAATGACACTCCAGAGCACTGTGCAACTCACAGTCAGTGTGTAGCAACCAGCAACCAACAACACAAATACAGCATGGGAAAATCAATGGCATACCAAAATGTTACCAGCCTTCCTGCAGATGTCTCATACAGCTTGTCTCTTTGTATAGGCTTATGTGACATTGAGGATCTAACGCTCGGTGGCTGCCAACTGCTTTCAAAGAGTGTCTGGCGCCTCTCTCTTTAAGAGCCGATGAGAGAGAAACACAGAGAGATGAAGAATGTCATCCCCTGAAAGACAACAGGATAAGTCATCAAGACTGTCATGATGGAGTGGGACAGGGAGGGGGCAGCGCAGCGAGGAGACATAAAAATCAATCATCCATTTTTGGTAAACATGGATGAAAAAAAAAGCTGTTTCCAAAACTGATTACACTCTACAGAGCCGAAATAGCATCATCATGCTCATTTAAAAGCATCAATCAGCTCACTTTAGCCCCTGTGAACTTGTTTAAGGAGCTCAAATTATAGTTCCCCCATGGTCCGGTAAGCATTACGTCAACACAGTGATAACAAACAGCTCACCCTTAACTCAATAGCTCTCCTCCTCGTGGCTTTTTCTGCAGGGCAAATTACTTAAGAGTAGGGGACTATCCAAGATGCTAAAGGAGGCACATCCATGTGCATCTAGGAACCTTTATTCACTGCTGACTGAGGATAATCAGATGGAGCCTGTGATATGGGGTCAGATTTACTGCACATGTATACTTAATGCCTTAAAAAAGTCAAATTAACAGAAATGAACTTAGTTCAGAACTTGTCTATCTTGTTCAAATTTGATTTACTTAGATGTCCCCACTCCATGCTCAAGATTTATACATCTTAAAAAAGAAATTTAGTGTTTGGCTCATAACTGCACGAACTGCTTTCCATGCCTGAGTAATAATTATTTCATAAACTGTGCAGTGGCCATGAAAAAAGGATTTCAAAGTACTGAAAGTCGACATCATTTTCACAGTTGGAATGCAACTCTTCCTCCCAAAACTGAGTCACTCAGCATGTGACCTTGAGTCAGGCCCAGCCAATACTTTACGCTGATCGAACCCCCGTGTCACAGCAGGAAACAAACTCTGCAAATGTCAGAGATCAACTGCAGCATTCGGGCGGCTCATATTTTGGAGGAATAAATTAAATCCTTCTTTTTTGGTTTTTTTTTTTTACACGATTTTTAAAATGCCTCAATTGAGCACCTGAAGTGTATTTTATGCTAGAAAACAAAAATATAGAGACACAAGGAAAGTATTGCTGATGTGCAAAGCCTACCCATTGTCTCATCTGTCTTTTTTCTCATCCTCAGTTCCTGTGTCTCCCTCTCCTCTCTCACTGAGGAGGCATTGACCCCAAACTTAAGTAAGCTCCACGTCATTGATTGAAACAAGTGATACAGTTAATGTCGTGACAAGACAGATTCCCTCTTTAAAGCATTATGGATTACAGTCATTTAGAAGAAGGGGGTATCTCTAAGGAACCAGGGCTGGTGTTAATTCCGTCAATTGATTTATTCAATGTGTCTGTCAAGTAAATGAGAAGTGTCCACTTACCACTTGGCCCTTTACTGCTAACTAAAGATAAATGGAGTGATTTTTTTTTTTTACAGTTTCATCTGCTTTCTATAGCACTGTCAAATTTGATCTTTTCAACTACCCTACCTAAGAGTGTAATCACTTGAAAGGGTCTACTTTGCGTTATCGTGCTCCCCATTCACACTCATCCTGTTGCCTCTCAGAGAGAGCTCAACATTAAGCAGAAAACTAAGAGAGTTTAAAAAGAATATCTGACTTTTCTAAACCACATCCCCCCCCCTTTTTTTTTTCCTGCATCCACACTGTGTTGTGTTAGAACTTAACCGGAAAACAGATCACAGTTTTGTGCAAGGGTCAAGGGTGTGAGATGCGTGACACTCTTGTCTCGGAACTGTTCAGTCTGTGCTGACCAACCTCTCAATCTTCACAGGGGAGGCGAGTTTATCTGCTGCTGCTGGCTCTCGGGACGGGGAATTGGACAGTGGAGGAAAAAAGTGTATGTCAATCTGGGATAGGAAAAGGTGTCTTTTTGCAAAATCCAAATGTAAATTGAGTAGATTGCTTTGTATGTGTTGCCATCTACTTTTTTTTTTTTTTTTTTACTTTTCTTTGAAAGGCACTTGCTGCATTCAGAGTCTGCGGAAATGGAAAAAGTTCAAAAAGAGTTTAAAAGTGAGTGATGTTCCATTTGAATCTACATAAAAAACGGGACCATGAGCATAGATGTCCTGTCCTTGCATGTGTGATACTGTAACTATAGAGCAGAAAAGTGTGTGTGTGTGTGTGTGTGTGTGTGTGTGTGTGTGTGTGTGTGTGTGTGTGTGTGTGTGTTTATATGCTTGAAAGCATTGCACTGAATTCCAGGGGAGGCAAACATGCAATCATCTAAACTGCAAAGGGGCTTGTGACTGCCTTACATCAGCCCCTGAATGACACAGTGAGCAGCATCATATTTGCATGGTTACAGCACATGGTCAAGTGACTGGCAATTTATAGGCTGGCAATTCCCCACAAGAGGATGACACAGTTTAAAGAAGAGGCAGAATTAGGGAGTGTCTTTAGGAGTTGGCAGCTTTTTTTTGTTTCTCTAATGAAGGAAAACTGAAAGTGAAGCACATATCATATATCTGTGTTTCCAAAATGCTGAGTGTGGGATGATTTCTCATAGTTTTGATCAGGAATCAAATAGACAGATTGCCTGGGCTGTCATACTATCTTTTCAAAGCGGTGTTTCATCTTAAGACATACAGAGCTCTTGTGCTTTACCATGTGACATGAAAGATGGATATCTTCTCTGCTTTCAGTTACACCAGAAAAAAAACCGAAAAACTTTTTGATGAAGGCACCGTTGAGTTACAATTTCCTGTAGATCCTCTGTGTGCACAAAATTAAGAGTTTGTGAACCAATGTCATTTATACACAACTTGGATATACACAGCCTAGTGGTGACTTTGTCCCAATCAGTCTACCATTCTTAGCGGGATTTTGCAAAGAGATTATGATACTGTTTAAAGCAGCTGTGTGGCTCTTACGGGTATAATTAACGTGTTTTTGCGTGTCATTTACAGTTTTAGGGGTAAAGATGAGGTGTAGTGCGCACAACACGAACAAAAGCTTACCTGATATTTCAAACTGAGGGACATCTTCCACAAGGAACCCCTTTCCTTTGTAAAACACCTTGATATCAGAACAACTCCGGGCTTTGCTCGTCCCTTTTTCCCCATAAGCTGGTGCCGTTAGAGAGCACACTGCCAGCGCCGCTATAATGAAGGAATCCATGCCGGCCGACCACATAGAGTCTAATTGTGTCTATGGACTCAGTCAAGTGCAAATCCGACCGAACACCGAGTTCTACTCGGAGTAGCAGACTCCCGGCTTCTTTAAATTGGGGTTGCTTGGCCCTGTTGTGCGTAAAATATCCTCCACCTTCCTGTCTTCCCTCTGCCCCTTCAGTGCGTCTGCTAAGTCTGTGTCTGCAATCCGCACACTGCTGCCGGCACAGGAGCGATTCCTCCAAGCGCAGAGGTCCCGTCTCTTCTCACTTCTAAAGCTGGCCGCTGTGAAGAGGGCAGGAGCTTTCTTCCCCCCCCCTCAATTAATCTTCTCACGCAGATTGCCAAAATGAACGGGTCTCTTCTCTCGTATATCCAATGATTTTCTTGTCTTTTCTTTTTCTTTTTTTTTCTTTTTTGGCTTACCTGCTCGGAGAGAGGCGGAAGATAAAAAAAAAAACAGGTTACCCGTTAGCCGCTTTTAAAAACAAAGAAACAAAAAAATAGTCAAAATTGCAACGTGCTGGTTAAAAACCACGCAGCTATGTTGTGTTGATTCATACCTACCGGTGACGAGCTGTGTAAAGAGATGTACAGAGGCAAGTACCGCAGCTCAGGGGTTTCTGGACGATGCTGTGCCAGCGCTACCACTCTGTGGAGTGAGAAGGAGGCGGAGAGAGAGGGAGAAAGGGGAGAGCGAGGGAGAGAGCGAGAGAGAGAGAGAGAGAGAAGGGGGAGCGCATAGGTTTCTTGATACTCTTCCAATTTTTGTTTCATTCTGTTGTATCTATTAGTTATTTTTGGACACGTTTCAGAGTAAACTTACAGTTTAACAGGTTTGTTTAGCTTTGTGAAGCCTCCGAGGCATCCTGGTAGTCTGTGCACGATAAGGTGGTCTGGATCTGAGGTAAAGAACGTCCTCTACGCCTCTGACAGCTTGTTAGCCACCGACCGGGTGTCACAGATGAATTGTGGGCCCGCCCCTGCGCCCAGGTGCCCACCCACAATACAGGTCAGCCCTGAGAAGCGTCTCCTCCAGTCTGCAGAGCATTTGTGTACATCACTCCTCAAGGTGCAATTACTCCGCCAGCAAGTCATTACCTGCCTTGATGCCGTTCCCGGCTTACCTGTCACCCGCTGAATGCCTTCGTTAACTTCATTTTCTGTACGTGTTAATATCAAGCCCGAGAATGAACAAGCCCGAGAATGTTTTTAAATTGCTTTTAGGCCTCATGTGACCTTTTGGGCATCAAACACGCTTTTATTATATGTCAAGTAATGACCCTTCACGTCCTATTGGTTTATTGTAGCATAGATGTCAAAATAACAAAAAGTTGAAAAGATAATCTACATTTTTAGTTTATTCATTAGATTTAATAGGATCAGTGACTTCAAACACTGCAGGCAGTGTTTCTTTTTTCCTTCCTTCCTTCCTTCCTTCCTTCCTTCCTTCCTTCCTTCCTTCCTTCCTTCCTTCGGATAGCCAGGAATAGAAAGGGCTGTTAGAAGAGTGCAAGCCTCATACCACACCTACCACATAACCACACACGTGGGCATAAGATTAAAAAAATTAAAAAAAAAAAAGATTATGGGGTTGTTTTAATGCAATACACAACTTTTTCAAAAAGCCTTCAACTGAGTCAAGGATATGGATGTCTGGATTTACATTGTGTCACATAAATTAAGAGACATATGCAGTTACTTTACTTAAAATAATATCCCATTAGTCATTTCAGTGCGTGAAACTGAATCAGACAGTATTTAATGGTGTCACTCCCGTGGGAGATGCTTTTTAAAGGCTTGTTTGCACAAGAAGATGCCTCTGCAAATCATCTCACCGACACATGGAAAAAAAAAACTCCCGTGCAGTCCGTGCAGTAAGTGGGCATCGTCTGACAGATAGAAAAACCGAACTGAAAGGCAGAGAGAGAGAGAGAATGGGAGAGATCCACATGGCATGCACAGTCATTTCCTGCCTCTAAATCATTCTATTTATGTAGACTGACTATGTTTATGAATCCATTAGGAAATGTGACTCTATAATTAGTCTGTTCCTCATCACTGGATGAGTCCAAACAAAAAGGACAGAATCTCGGATATCACCAAATGACAAATGGCTGCGCTCGCTGCCCATTATTGCAGCTCTAAAGTGAGTGGGCATGAATTACACCTTCGCTCTGCAATGTCAAGTGTCTTCCTCATATTTGCTCATGTGTGGAGTTTTTTTTTTTTTTTTGGAAAATCACCATTGCAGTTAGTCTGCTAGAAGTTCAGGAATGTGCAGCTCTGTGCCACACAGCAGACCGAACCCACTCGCTAATTATGTGTAATAATGTTGCTTCACTTTTCTTGTTGCGCCAAGGGGAAAAGCAGGCAGCGCTAAGCACATGTGGCCAGAGGTTAAGTCTGGTGGGCTCAAAGTGTGTCAGCAATAATATGTCAGCCAGTATTATATATGGGTTTGTGTATGCCTGACCTTTATGTGTATATGTGTCTGTGTCAAAGGCGGTTGGTGTGTGTAATGTGAGTTTATGTGTCTGACTGGGACCCACATGTGGCCATAGGTCGGCAGAGCTGTCGGAGAACTGATTGGCCCTCTACTGTCTGGCATCAAGATTATGTAATTAATGCTCAGTAAAGCCACAGAACAGCCATGTTTTCTTCAGGCTGCCTCTCATTGAAGTTTTATTGGCTCTGACCATGAAAGGCCCCCTAATGAAGGGCAGGATGCTGGGGGAAGTTGAGGAGACAGGGGAGAGCAGATGAGGGGAGGCAGAATGGTAGCAAAGAAAGAAGAGAGCATGGGGTGAGAGGCCACTCATTTTAGCCTACTTGTGCAGTAATTATGTGGTGAGCATCTCTACAGAAATACTATAGATGTTAGACTAAATCTTCCTAGAAAAAAACCCTCGCGCTTGGTTCGAAACTGGATAGTTGTAAAGGGAAATTCTTACGCTTTCCTTCAGAAAAAAATTGCAGCAAATTAAACGTCTTTTCGTGTAAAAGACACAGCATAGTATAAATAAACTATGAAGAGAAAAGTATTGGGCCAAATATCTTAATCTTTGAATTCAGGTGTTTTTGGTCTTGTTGTCACATGATTATAAAGTCAAGCACCTAGCCGTGCAGTCTGTCTTTGCAAGCACATGTGCAAGAATGAGTCACCCTAAGAAAGCTTACCGAATTCAAGCACGGTGTGTTAATAGGATTGTGGCATCCATTGTGGCAACAAGACAGTTTGGGAAGTTTCTTCCTTTCTAGACATTCCACCATCAGCTGTAAGTGCAATGGGAAGGATTTAGGAACCACAGCCACAAAACTTTAGACCACATAAAGTTACAAAGGGGGGGTTGCCAGCTGCTGAAACGCGTAGTGCATAAACGTTGCCAATGCTCTTCTGGTTCAGTAACTGCATAGTTCCAAGCCTCATTTCACTTTAACATCAGCATGAACACTGAGTACCAGGAGCTGCATGGTGTGGATTTCCACAGCAAGCAGCTCCTGTAGTACTTTTGTTCATATACTGTGTAATAAACTGTTAATAGTTATCAGTAAATTGCCCATTTAAAAGGTTACTGCAGGTTACAAGAGTATGAAGAAATCACAGTAGTTTGTATTTTTAAGACAGTTGATCCATAACAGAGTTCATTGGGACCCCACTATTCCATTTTTTGTCCACCCAGTTGCAGCAACAGTAACCCTGAACCACAACTCAAGGGTTATCTTATCAGAACTGTTGCTGTCTGTTGTCAGTACTTCCTCTCCTCCTTTGTCATTGCAACAGATTTACAGTTGGACCATTTTGTTTTTCGTTAGGGATAGCCATGTTGAAATGTGATACTAAGCATTATTAGGCTCACCTCTGGGGCTTTAACAAGTCATTCTCCCACTGCATTGCCTAATAAAAGATCAATAAACAGAACTGTAATTTGAAGGGAAACACTGGGTAATAAATCACTTTGAAACTGACTCATTTATAGTAATTAAAGAAAATGGCTTTGCCTTGTATAAATATTCATATTTAGGAAAGGAATTTTATATAAAATGGTTTGGAATAAACTTAAATTGTAATTTTATTTCCCCACAGCAGCCTTTAGATTACTGTACAAGGTTCTACTTTCTGCCTCTTAATAACTGGACTGAAATGCGCGTGCTAGAATTCATTGCTGTCAAATGCAAGACCTCTGTGTTTTCCAATTTAGTTTCATTGTTTGTATAAGAAAAGTAATTGTGAAACCTGCACATGTTAATGTCAGCTTTTCTGGGAAATTCCCCATTGACTGTAATGCCTCCATTGCGTGGCACCTTCTGAAAATGAAAACTAAAGGAGTGGAAAGTTGTTCTTGAAACCACATCTAGATTTCAACAGTGTGAGTGCACTCGGGTCTCAAAGGGGTTAAAACATTGCTTGAGAGACAGAAAAAGCAGGCGCTGATGCAAGAGGCAAACAGTGGCAAAATCTCTTATTATGTATTGCCTATTCATTTCTTATGGCATCATTGTATTACTGACTGTGTCCATAGTTATATTGCGCTTATACAGCATGCAATTTCCATATATTTTCAAGTATGTACACAAATAGGCAATATCGTCCTTCTGCTGAAAGTCAGCTTACATATGTTACTGGCGCTCTCATCGCACCCTCTAATAGAGTTTTATGAAGACATTAAAGACAGAAAGAGCAGTTTAAAGCCAGATCTGATAAAAGGCACACACAGACACACACAAACACACACCCCTGACAAAATGTGATGTAGTGAAGGAACTGCAGCAGTGGCCAGTGTACAGGGCTCCCGGCAAGGCCTCCGCATGGTTTTTATGTAAATATAAGTGTGCTGTTTCAACAGATGTAATCGGTCTTTAGAGCGAGATCATTGTGTCCTCTCCCTAAAACCAGTCTCATCTTGGGCTCTTGCAGATAGCATCGATTCTGCATCCTCTCTGGGTTTTTATGTCAACCATTAGCCAGAGTTCAGCACATTCACTGGAGTGCTCAAGTGTGTATGCATCACTCACTTGATCTGTCTCCCTCCTTTCTTGTTTCTCAGTCAATGCCTCTTTGCATCAGTCAGTTTCATTTACATTTTCTCTCTGTTTTGCCATTTTTTTCCTTCCTTGTACGAGCGTGGCGAGTCCAAACGATCATACCTACATCCTTACACGTTTAAACACTTTAAAAAACAAAAGTTTGAGTTGTTTTAAAGCTTGTTTTTTTCTTCTTGCTAGCCATTTTGCATTGCCATTTTTGATCTACTTTATTGTCCCCTTGATCACATTTACCCAGCATCTGTCTGTGCACACGCAGCTTCCAGAAAAACCTAGATTTGCCCATCTCCAAACACGGAGCCCTCCACAGTTGCCAAAGACAGATGATGACAGAAAAAGGAGAAATGTTGATGGTTAGTGCAAAGGGTAGACAGATTATATTGTAGAGAAAAATGAGAAATAGCGAAGGAAACTGTGGAGGGGGGTGGGTGAGCTTATGAGGCAAGATAAGGAGGGGAGAGAATATGATGATGGATGACTTAGGGAAAATGACAGAGAAGTGAGCTGAGGGGAGAAAGCGGCAGGGAGGGATTTGCATTCAGAATGGTGAGGATAAAGTGCAGGAAATAGAAGAAATAGAGAACTTTCAGTGAACAGGAGCGGGGAAAAAATAATTGGAATTAAGTGAAAATGGCAAATGGTCCTTTGATTCTTTGGGTTAATCTCGCAAACAGGCACTGTCGTGGATGAGAAATGTCCCCTGTGGTGTGTTGCGTTGTGCTTTTGTATGTCTCTGTGGGCATCCTGGCACTGTTGCTGCTCAGTAATCTGAGCACATTCCAGTCTTTTCCATGCATGGAGAAAATCTTAGGTACACCCACAAAATGCTTTCCCAGAAATTACCACCGGACAGAGCGGTGTCCATGAAGT